TTCTTTTTTTTTTTTTTTCTTTCCTTGACATTTTCTCATCTGTGATATTAAGTAGGGTAGGAATGCATCCAGTGTAGACCACTTTAGAAGGTCAAGAACAAAAGCAGCAAAAAGCAGTCTCACTTGTTGTGAGAGTGCAGGGGACTGGAGCCCAAGGGAGCACACATGAAAAGCCAGATGATCGGCTTGGATGTTCTGCTGAAACTGTTCCATTTCATACTGCTGTGGAAATAGCGATCTGTTCAGAGAGAGAGAGAGAAAGAAGGACCCTCTACTCTTAGATGAGGTTTAACACCAGCCCTCCCTGGCTGTTGGTCCTCATCATTGAGCTCTGAACTTCGTCTGCGTATGGTTTAAATCATAAGTGATGTGTTTTTTGTTGTCGTTGCAGTTGATTTTAAACACCATCACTCTGTTGCGGACCATCTCTAGAGAGAGATCCGCATCCTACAAAACCATGGCATCCGAGCTCTCTCCCTTGCTTCCTCCTCTTCCTTAGAGCACAGGGTCTGGACACAGGAGAGGAGAGGTTTGGTTCCTGAGAAATGAACACTGGTGGGGAGCTTATTTACTACTGTATGAGCAGATCACACCTTACCATGCTAATTATCGGAGTGAGGAAAGAATGATGAATTAAGAGAGGGAAAAATACTGTATGTTTAACCTTTCCAAAACAGCTGCAGAATCCTCCTTTGTAAAATATTTCAGAGTAACTTGTTTGGAGCAGTCGTGTTTTCTCACATGGTGCTGCCAGGTTTGACATTCTGCAATCACAAAAGAAATGATGTTCGAAAAGAAGTTGGCCTAAAAAATAGGAGTTTCACTAGCATGTGCACAAAATATAGTCAAGGTTACTAAATGAATAACAACATTGGGGCCAGGACCCAGAACCATTCACTCACAGGACATTTGTCCTAGGGGCTCAGATAGAGCAGCATCTCAACATCTGGAAGGTCTATAGCCTGAAAACTTCTTTCTTCCCGCATGATCCTTGCCTGATGCTTGCACTCTGTGGCTACAGGTAGCAAATCAGGATAGAGTATATTTAACTGGACTCCAAATATGTGGTACATTGCCAAATGCTCCTCATTTCTGCCTTTCCCCAGTCACAACTACGATAATAAGAAGTCCATGAATAATAAGGGGTGAAGTATAGAGGAGGGAATTGAAAGCTTTTACCTCACATCAAGCAGGAGGATCAGAGTGGGTAGAAAGTTTCACAACGCATTGATATGATCAATTCCTTCAAGGAGCTGAAGGCAAAATGAGTGAAAACCCTGAATCAGATTGAAAAGCCTATTTCATTGATGTCCAACATGTTTGATGTTTAAGCCAGCTTTACATAAGCCACTTCTCAGCCTCCTGAATACTCTCTCTGGGGTTCAGAGTTAATCAACCCACAAGCATTCCAGGAGTGTGCTACCTGCACAGAGGGGAACCCAGCTCACCCATCAAATGCAGAGCTGGAGATGTGGCTGTGGGACCCCTCTGGCTACCCTTGGCTATAACTCTAGTAAAAGGAAAGTCATTCTTGGGGGGCCCCTTGTGCCACTGACTGAACAAGGCCCTTTTCATACCTGAAATGCATTCGGCAAGCAAGGCAGGTATTGTTAGTCTCCTTTTCATGCATGAAAAAAGCCCACAGAAGATAAGAAGCTTCCTCCTGGATTATAAAGCGGGCCTACCTGACTGCATTGTGCTTCTACCCTGCTATGTTGTCCACTTGGGATATGGGCTCATGCTTCCGATGGTCCTGGTCGGTCACACAAGAAATCAGCTGTTGTTGCCCCATAGTATTTATCTCTGACCCACATAGGTGGCACAGACTAGCAACAAGAGAGCACAGGCTAGCAGGGACCCCAAGCTTTGGGTAAGTTCCTTCCATATCACTGAGTCATCAGTGAGCTGCATTTGGTAACTTCTTAGGCAGCCGTAGTTTTGCACCAGTATAGAAGAGTGAGTTCAAGGGGCCAAGTACACATCACTTGTTAGCTGGTAGAGATCAGGGCTCGCAGAATATCTGTCTCCCTCTCCAGTGATTTCTTTCTAAGGTAGGAAGTGAAGGAACACTGCAGCAGAAATTAATGAGCAGCTCGCTCTCCCTCTCTCTCTCTCTCGCTCTCCCTCTCCACATTTTCTTATAATCCAATGTTCTGGCTACAATAGAATGGCTAAAAATTGTCCTTGTGCTGTGTTGTACACAGACATGCATGTGCAACACACACACACACACAATAACAACTCCATGTTTTGCGTTTTATCATGTGGAAAATCAAAACAAGCTAGAAAGCATTCCAATTGTTTCTTCTAAATTCACTGTAATTTTTTGGCAGGGAATTTATGCAAAGCTGAGACTTGGAAGCAGCCCTTGCTAACTCTCCACTGTTCCATAGACACCTCGGGATGTATATCAAAAGGCTTTCCACTGCTGCCTTGCAGCAGAAGGCTTGACGTATGACAGAGGATGTGCAGAGGAGACACCACCTCCTTGTGTTGGCTGAAGGCCAATACTGAGCAAATTAAAGAGCCCAACATGGGCTTCTCCCTCACACCATTTCATTCGAAAGCAGCACACTTGTCATATCACTGGGGTCCTGTGTTGATAGAAATGGAGGAGTAGGGATGCAGCGAGGTCTCCACAAATTCATTGCACACCTGCATGCTGAGTGACACAGAAGACCCCTGGGCCTAAGGACCCAGGAGAAGGCTGCAGCCCCAAAGTACCAAACCAAATCAGCTCCAGGTACATTAGAGTCCAGAGCCCAAAAACAGATACAAATCAATCAATTAATCAATCAGTCCCCCAGGGAGTTCCACATTCTATCCACTTTGGGCAATTTTCAGGTGCACATGGCAATGCAGCACCAAGAACCAAATGGGGATGGGGTATCTGTGTGTGTATGTGTGTGTGTGTGTGTGTACATCTGTGTTTAAATTTTATTGAGGACTAAGATACACACTATTTTATTTCCTGCTAGGTTTTGGCAGCCTACTGTTGGTAACTGGAGTTATTAATAATCTTAACCAATGTTAGACAAAATTTAAGGAAATAATGTATGTTAATAAAAGTATGCAGCTGTGTTTCTTCTCCTCAAGGTGGTAATTGTGTCATGAATAGTTTGGTCAAAGGTTTGAAATAAACCTCTAAACTATCATTTTCAAAAATCTGAGTGGATATAATACTAAAATTGGGAAGGAAGTCTACCAGATAGGCCTAGCAAGGAAATGAGAATAGATAATTTAAAATTAATATTCAATGTATTAGGTAGGAATCCTACTTGACTGTTTTGATAGAGATACTCAAAATGGTGGTAACCACTTCTCTCTCACTTGGACAAACTGGTCTGATAGATCTGGTGTGTAAAATTACCAGAAGCCCAGGTTTACTCCTATTTTCTTTCATTCTAATATACAATTTCCATTTCATGGCCCAAGATGGCTGCTGCAACTCCTGCCATCGGCATTTGAGCAAGTAGAGAAGAAGAACAGAGAGAAGTTGCACGTATTTCTTGCAGTCATACTTCATGTTATGGAGCCCCAACATTAGACACATCCAGCTGCAGAGAAGGCTAGAAAATGTCTTTCTTACTGGTTGCCAGATGCCTTGATAAGTGGAGGGGTTCTATTATTAAAAAACAATGTGAAAATTAATAGTGATAAAAACTATTAGTCTCTGACACAAAAGGAAGTAGAAAGTGTTTCAAGTGCTTTTCATTGTCATTTATTTCATCATATGTGTTACAAAGGATACAATTAATTTTCATCACTTTGTATAGCGTTTAATGCTTCTCAAAACATTTTTACATCTAGTATCTCACTGGCCTTCATTACATTCTTGTGTGTTAAATGAGACTTCTATTCATTATCCCATTTGATAGTGCAGAATGAAGATTCAGAGATGTTAAAAGATTTCCCAAAGATTCTAATTCATTAGCAAGAAAGTTGCTCAGAGCCCCTAACTTTTGATTTCATAGCCTTTCCTACTACTCTGTGCAGCTCCACATCAGTACTGGTATTGGGAAATGCAAAAATCTGAAATCTAAGTCTGTATTGATTTATATCTTCCCTCACCTTTTTGTAGAACTGTGGTGACTTAGAAAATGTCAATGAGACTGGTCAAGGTGACTCTCAATTCTGCCTCCAACCAGGGGATCTCTTATTAGGAGTGAAATACCCAAGAGATGGGCAGTGCTTCAAGG